TGCTACCTTTAAGCTCGCTTAGCTCCTCCAAAAAATATCGTTGGTCCCCAAGCTCGCGTACCTTGAATTAGGAGGGCTAATTATCAAACTATGATCCCCCATTTGGCCTGATTCATCCACATGTAGAATTCTTTCCATTTAGACTTTAATCCCCTCAGTCATGTCTTTTTTTAATAGCTTGGGATGATTACAAAAGTAGGTCATGTTTCTTGGAAGATAGAGTTTAAAGTAGAAATTATGCTCACAAAAGATATAATTATTATAAAAGGAGAAGAAGTGAAAAAATAATACGAAAATTGTGATTTACTTGTTATTATTTATTTTTCAACGTATGGGATTTATATAAAGTTTTCTGTTCTGAAATTGAAACAAATTTTCAGGCACAATTAACACTCGCATAAACAAAGGCCATTGAGACAATGATGAAGTTTGCAACTCGGTGAACAATAGCTGGCGCAGTCGGGGTCTATTTTGCATTGAGTCTACACGTCCTTAGAAGCAACCACCGAGTTCCAACACGTAAAGTTTTCAGCTGCGTCACAAACACAAATGTCCTCACCTAAAGAAAGATGATACATATTGACAAGAAGCTAAAAGAAAGATGATAAGAAGGAAAAAGACGATATATACTGACAAGAAGCTACAATCAAGATGATAAGAAACAAAGAAGCCATCTTCATTTCTTATAAATGATTTCAATGGTGATATAATTTATTTGGGATGAAACCAGTGGTACATAAAAAAGAGTATGGGGTTGACTTAGAAAGGAACGCTGTGCTTCAGTTTTACACTTGACCGAATTTCATGGATTCTTGGGTGGAAGAAAACTATAACTTTGCCAAAACAAGGCTTTGTTATTTTCAAAACACAAATTAGTTTTACACATGTGAGTGTTGAAGAATAAAATAGACCACCGTCCACTTGTAAATAACGAAAATATAGAAAACTGAAAGAAATGAATACTCAATATTTGATTCATCATCTTATTGTCTTCCGATATGACTAACATGTCGGTGGTGTGGTCGGAATATGACAAACAAATTTATAAAATTTTATGTTAGTGGAGTAAATTTATAAAACTTTAAGTGATAAAAGTAAATTATCAATAAAAATATCTAAATTATATGATAATTTGAAATTGTCATAAAGACGGCCGTCCCATCAACTCATGTAAATCCATCCTGATTATGAAGTTACAAGATTTTGCGTAAAATTGGAAGTGAAAGATGGTCCGAGGTAAAGAAGTATAGAAAAAACTTTGGTGGCAACACACAAAATAAAAGTGCAACAAGAAGCATGAGATGCCATGACACTGTTGTTTTGTGCTTCTTTACTTTATTGGGCCCATGACTTCACATCTTTTTCTTTCGTTTTCTTTATTTACAGTTTCAAAATGATAAGGAAAAAAAACTATGTCAAAAGAACCCAATTCAAATACAAAGAGATCTATTAATTGGATTGTCTCTACTTATGGACAATCCTACCTCTCTACGTCTTATTGTTTCCTTAATACAATGGACAATCTCCTTCCCCTGCAGAGATTTTTGTTAGATGATCCGCAAGTTTCTCTCTCTCCACGCATGATAAATAAACGAATTCCACACAATTTCCAAAACAATAGTAAGCAAGGACTTACCCTTAATCGCCCAAGCAAGCTCCCAACTCCAACTCCCCAATCTGCGCTGCAAATGGCAAGCCTGCAAAACACTCAACCAAACTGTTTTAAAAAAAATGCAGCCAAAGAAAATAAGATCCCCGGACACAAGCTCGCTACCACAGAGAACACAAACAACATCCACATTAATACCAAAGGAAATCAACCTATCCTTTGTAGGCAACCTATTTAAATTTGTCATCCAAGAGATGACCGAGTGCTTTGGAATGCGAAACCGATATCAGACCAATCTATGCCACTCCACCTTGCCCCTCCTCTGCCTAACATCCTTCCAAATCTCAACAATAATGAGGTTATGATCAAGAAAATCCAATTACATTGCCGACCCCTTCAACTTCAACCTTTTATTTTCATGATAGTCAAAAACTTAATTTAGAGCTAAAATTCTCGATTTAGAAAAAATATATGTATTTAACCCATACACAACATTTCAACTATATATAAACACATAAACAAACTTAAAAAATTGATTACACGCATCTAATATAAGCTTACAACATTCCTTAAAATTTTCGATTTCAACATTCCTTTTGGCTTGGATGAACCTCAATCTTTTGAATGTTAAAGCACACTAAGTATATATTACACCATAAACGAAAGAATCCATTAAAACCGTGAGCTATTATACCAATTTAGGGTTCCATTACTTTAATTAGAAATCAAAGACAACCACAAAATTGAACTTAGAACATTAGCTTTACATGCCTACTTGTAGAACGCTAGTGCACTGAAAAAGTTTAGTGATTTCTAAGCTCTCTCTCTTGTTCTTTAAGCATTCAAGTATGACAAAATGGGTCAGATTTGAGTTTAACCAAAGTGAGATGGTCTCGTTTAATTTCTTGGGTAAATGACAAGATTGATCACTTACCTTTCATATTTTTTACCCTTTTACTCACCAAATTTAAAAAAGTTAAGTTTTGGCCACTTACATTATCGTTTTATTAAGTTTTAGTCGCTGAGACTTTGAATGTTGTTAAGTTGATGACATGACACGTTAATAAAAAGGTTAAACTCTTTTAACCCCAAATCTTAAATACTAATTATGGGTGTTTTTATAAATTTAAAATATTTTAAGGATAAATTTTTAATTTATCCATATTTAAATATGCTTTTCCAAACTATAGATTTCCTCCGTCAGCGTTGCACGCCCTGTCCATACCTTGTTATCTTTCCCTATTTTAAATGAGGATTGGCCATGCCCGTTTTAGACGAACCCCTATCTGGCTCCCTGCTACAAATACCATAGTTAACCAAAATCAACATAGTATTAAATATTGCAATATTATGATTGCGGGTGTTGCGAACATTACAACATGATTTATTTCTTAAAAATTTCCACGGTTTTATGTTACAGATGTGATTCGCAGTGTCCTAATGACCTTGAAAAATATTATAATGTAATCGTTACACTACAACGTAGCTGCAATTTAATACTATGAAAACCAAGCAATCAAGAGCAAGAAACAAAGGTTTATTACCCAACGCGGAACAAGCAGATTCCACCGCCCGTCACCTTTATCGTCGTCAACAACAACATAGTGAGAGTTCAGAGAGGAAAGATTCATCAACAACCATCAATTTTTCATATTCTTCAACTGGGATTTCGTTAATGTCATCACTTCATGTTCTTCAATTTTTCATATTCATCATCCATCAATTTCAGAGTTGTCATTATATTTAATTTCTTACATGAGTTTGGGTGTGTTTTCATGTTTGGTCTTGGACAGAAAGCACATATCGTAAAGGGTTGTTCGTATATTTCGGTGACAAGTCTGAAGCTGGCTGATATCGCACCAGATGATTACTCATCCAAGCTACAAAATAAATTACTCTTTCCGTCTGAAGCAAAGTTGATAGTTTGAGATCAGTTTCCAACATGTTCTTTTGTTTGTCTGGTTTCGAAACATGATTCAAACAAGGACATTTTTCTCTGAATGTTTCCGTATGACTATAAGTTTCCTTGCTGTTAGAGAGAGAGATAAAAAATTAGTGTAATTATGTGTGTAATTACATAATTTTATTTTATAATTAATTATTTAAATTTAAAATTTATATAATTAGAGTGTGTTTGGTTGGGGGAATGTGAGATTCTCATAGAAATGGAATCCACATTCTCCCGTTTGATTAGTATGAGAATATCATTCCCGGTAATCTTACATTACCAATAGATTTTTTGAGGTATATCACTGGGAATGTTATTACCTCCATTTCCTTAGGTATTGTTAAATTACCGGTGTTTTGTACTAAAATGCCCTTAATTTTTTTTTTCAAAAATATTCTTCTTCTGTCATTGAATAATAAAAATTCTACTAAAGTTAAATTACAAATTTATACTTAAACTATTTTAAATTTAAAAAAAATTATAATTAAAATTTTATATGAAATTCAAGGGTTAAAATAAAATTTTACCATTTCATTAAACCTTTTTATATTTTCAATTTTGTAAAAAAATATATATAAATTTTATGAATTTAAATTTTTTAAAAAAATATATAAATATTTTTCAACTTGTTAAAAACTAATAAATAATAAGGACAATTTGGTTAAATATACATTCCATAATCTTTTATTCATTTAACCAAATACAGTAATCTTACATTCCTGTTAAACTAACTAAAGATAAAATACAACATTCTCAGTAATCCTATTCCAGTAATCTACATATTTTTTTGAATAAAATCATTCACTAGAATCGTCCTATTATAGGAGAAGTTTCTCGGAATTTTCCGGATTAATCCAATTTTTTTCTTAGTCACTTCTATTTCATGCTTCTATACATATATTTTCTATTAATTTAGGTATAGGTATATACAAGACATTATATATTCAACGATAATTCTCAATCATTTGATATTGAACGTTCGTATCCTTAATATTTCTGATGCTCGAATCCAAAACCTTGGAATAACAACATTTCCTTTACCATCAAAATCATTAAAATTCATGCTCATGTTTATTTGTTTTTTAATTATTATTTTCTCAATGATAAATTGGGTTATGTTTCCCTTGGGCCACTTCTTAGTCTTACAAATATTAATTGGGTCATGCTACTGAATGCGTATCTTTTCAATAAATTAAACTCTAATAAATATAAGCATCAATACAGAATAGTTATGGTCTTCATCACGTCATTGTGTAACATTTGTTAGATTAAAGGTACAAATTTTATATGATCATTAATTAAATGATCTCAGTAATTAAAGAGATATATTATTTTTAGAAATTTTAAGTTCAAGCAGTAAATGAATAGTCATCGAGTAGTTTTAAACTGGTGTAGTAAGGATTCTAAAAACTTAAGATGGATGAAGTAAACAAAACCCATAATAGTCCCACTTCTTATTAACCTTTTGTTAACGAAATTCATGATTCCGCTGTAACATGTTTGGTACATAGTAGTCTTTAGATAAGACTTTATGTTATACAAGTGAAATCGAGTGGGAATTTTATAGACTAAAGTCACTGTCCATAGAGACGAAGTGGAGAATCCACATCATCATCACAATCCACCACTTGATAGTCCACAGTAAGATGGCCTGCAGCATTCCCTTTCCCATCACTGTCAATGGGTTTAAACGCAGTGTGTAAGTCTAACTCCAGAGCACCACTGCCACATGTATCGACGATTCTCACTATTTCCTCATCTTTTGTGCGTGTGTTGGTTACCTGCATACGAAACCCAAGATAAATTAAACTCTAAATATACACACACAACGTATGTAGGATGTACAAACTTATTCTCAAATAGTTAAATCTTTTGAATATGTATTATATTGTAATTACTATAAATTAATATAAACTAATAAAAAAATAAGTAACTAGTTTTTATACCTTTAAGCACTTGCCACAGATGTCTTTCAGTTGAGAACCGAAAACATTTCCACAGTAACCGGTCCATCCATATCTTTGACGCCACTCCAAGGGTTTGTTACCGTCATAGCCTTTGCAAGCGACCGCACCGTAGCTCCAGTTATTCTTTAGAGGACCATAGTCACTCCAGTAAGCTATGACATCAGTCTCACCGGGACCTGCTGGTGGCGGCGGTGGAGGATCACAATCCACGAGCTCGTATTCCACAGTAAGGTGCCCTGTTTGTTTGCCGCTCCCATCGTCGATCAGACTGAACGCAGGTTGATCCAAGTCCATGCTTTCCGAACCGCATTGGTCGACGATTCTCACCACCACGCTGGCATCATTTTTAGGGTTGGTCACCTGCATGAACGCGCAATAATTATATTACTAAGAAACTCATGCATGGGAATTCTTATTTTTTCACCAAATGCTGTAAAAGCTCCTTGTACTATATATACCTTCAAGCACAGGCCACAACTACTTGGGTACGAAGGACCACTCAATCCACAGAAGGCGGTCCAATAATATTTGCTGCGCCATTCGATAGGCTTGTCGGCAAACTTCGAGGCGCAGGCAACATTTGCCTTGTTCATGTCCCAATCATTCCGTTCAACATAGTAGTTGGTCCAGTAAGCCGTCCCTTGGGTAAGGTATGCAGTAGTTGTAGCCCTAGCCTTAGAACCCACCACACTGCCTAACAGCACAATGCTAATTATGATGTTAACTACTGATATCTCCATTTTTTACTGCATATGTGTTTCTAATTCTTTGATGAAATCATGTATAGGGATCCACGTATTTATAGGTAAAATTACCCTCACAGTTTTGCAGGATTAATCTACCAATTTTTTCTTTAGAGCCCCATGTGAATTTCATGCATCTTCTTTTCTTTTTTTAATCGTCATGTTCTCAATAATTAATTGTAATTAGGTATTTTGGACCACTCCTTGATCTTGTAAATATCGTTAAGGCCAAGGAAGAAAAGTTAAAGCATCAATTGTTTTAGGTTAGATACAAATGAATATCTAACACTAGGATCAAAATCAGATTCGAAAATCATTTATACGTGTGTCGGAACCGTCTTTCTGTTGGGCCCCGGAATTGGGCTTCGACTTGGATTAAATGAATTGGAGTCGCCACTGACCATTTTAAAGTGAATTTAGATAGGTCAGACACCATCTTACTGATATGCGTTGTACCAGAAACATGTCGAGTTCGGGAGTCGGTTACGGTCAAGGAAGGATTAGCACCCTCGAACCGCCCTTTCGGTACCAATTAATTTACCGGTTGTCTTTAATTGCGAAAAATAAGAATTTAAATTTAAATTACCTGATTCAAATTGCTTACCTCTGATTGGTTGAAATTTCTCTAAAAAAGAGATCGAAAATGTTAGACAAAAAAAATGAATTTGTAAATAAATATATATATAAGAAATAAAATAAATAAATGTTAAATCAAGAGAAAAGAGAGAAAAAAAAAGAAAAACTATATATATAAAATGAAAAAAAGTAAATAAAAATTAAATAAAGGAAAAAAACGAAAGAAAGAAAAAGTCAAAGGAAAAGAATAAAAAAATAGAATAAAAAAAAGAAATAAAAAAACAAAAAAGATAAATAAAATAAGATAAGATAAAAATAATTAAATAATATTACAAAAAAGTTAAATTTTAAAAAACAATAAAGTAGAGAAAATATGACGAAAGAAAAATTTAAAAATAAAATAAAGTAACAACTTAGATGGTCAAATTGAGACAAATTGGAATTAATGGATTAAATTGGTATTAAAATGAACTGCAAAAGAAAGAAATAGAAAGTTAGGTGCCAATTCACAAAATATAAAAAATACAAACATGGACTAAATTGATTAAATTGGAAATCTGAAGTCAAATTTACAGATGGTGATCAAATTGAATTGCGACTCAAAATTTCAGGGACCACAAAAGGAATTTAGGAATATTCTATTTGCAAATCGGCCCTTGGTATATAAATAGCCAAACACACCCCCTTGCACTTCATTTCTCACATTTTCGCCCATGCTCTTCCTCTCTGAAAGAGAGAGGAGAAAACTCCTATCTGGAAACTCCACCATAGGGAATGAGCGGCCACCGGACCACACCACCATTCGTCGTTCCGGCCGCTTGCAAAACTAAACTAGCCTAAAAGACTCCTCTCACCACCGTGAACCCAAAACTAAACCCCAAATCACCAAAATACACCCCAGCAAGCGTAGATCTAAAACCAAACCTTCGGTCCCTCACCTTCTCGACGACCTTTTGCTTTTCCGATGGTTTATCCGGTTGATGCTTCGACTTTATATTTTGTGTGTGTGGATGTTTGGTTTTGGTCTGTTGTTTTCTGTTTTCGTAGGTTGATGTTTTGGTGTTGATGGGTTGCGATGGTTCACAGTTTACTGTCTTTGTGGCTCTCTGTGTTGGCTGATGTAATTGATGTTGTTTGTGGGTTTCGTTGATGGTACTGTTTTTTATTCTTGTGGCTCGATGATATTGGTTGTGTTGGTTTTTTTTGTCTCCATGCAGTAGCTTGGTGGGGGTATTTATACCCCCCACCGGTGGTCGTTCCAACGATCATGGTTATATGCTCGTGGTCGGTTTACCGGGGATTTCGGGATGGGTCAGTCCCGATCTCCTCAGCCGGAAATCTCGGTGACCGGTGTGACTGACTGTTGTTGGCGTGACTTCTGGAATCTTCATTGATTTAATTTCGACCGTTGGATTGGGTCAGATCAACGATCCAGATCTGGCTGCGCATTTGATGAAACATTTAGGGCTTCAGAATCCTAGCTATCACGCGATTTGAGTCGTTGATCACTGCTTGATCTGACGGTTGTAAGCCATGCGGCGCTTGGACTAATGTTGAGAAACCCTAGCTTAGAATATGGGCTTGGTCAGGCCCGTTTGACTGGACCCGTTGGACTCTCTTGGACCTGGACAAAAACGAAAGAAAATAATAATAATAATAATAATAATAATAAATAATAATAATAATAAAATAAATAAATAAATAACTAATTAATAAAACAAGTAAATAGAAAATAATAATAATAATAATAATACTATAAAATATATATTTCAAAAAATGTTTTTTTAAAACTATACATTATATAATTTCAAAAATTTTTAAAACTATACATTATATAATTTCAAAAATGTTTTTAAAACTATATATTATATAATTTTTCAAAAATGTTTTTAAAACTATATATTATATAATCTTTCAAAAATGTTTTAAAAACTATATATCATATAATTTCTCAAAAATGTTTTAAAAACTATATAATATATAAATTTTCGAAAATCATTTTCTGAAAATTATATATTATATTTCGTCAAAAACATTTTCACAAACTATATTACTATATACATATATATATATATATATATAAAATAACTCCGGGCAAAAATGAGAGTCTACAACGTGACAAAAAGTTAAAGCACGCTACAACGCCTGAAATCATTACCTAAAAAACATATTATCTCATTTTTAAAAATAATAAAATATGAAAGGAAAAATGAACTAATAATATTAATAACGATGATAATAATTAATACATATAATAATTAAACAAATAAAATTATAGAATAACAAGAGGGACTAATTTGTTAAAAAAAGCAAGGAAACATGCTAAGAATGACATTATATTACATTTAAAAAGCAAAGATCAATAATGTAATTTACCCATTAATTCTAAAAAGGCGTAGATCATCAACATATTTGGGTCGAGCACATGTATGGTACGGGTCACGGGTCTGGGTTAACAAAATGGTCTTCCTTTCTCACACAAATTAACCCTAAAAAATCCTAAAGGTTTTTCTATCCCTTCTATGTCGTCGTCCCAATTAGGCATTGTCAGGCATCATCTTTAAAAGATACGGATATCAAAGGGTTTAGAGATAAAACTCTCGGTTTAGAAAAATATATGTATTTAACACACACAACATTCGAACTATATATTAACACATAAATGAACTTAAATTAATTACACCCTCGGTTTAATTTCTTACATGAGTTTGGGTGTGTTTTCATGTTTGGTCTTGGAAGATCGAAAAGGGTTGTTCGTATATTCTGGTGATAAGTCTGAAGCTGGCCGTCAAATCTTACCCAACAAAGAACAAAGCTACCCTAACAAACCTTAAATCACAACCTCGATGATCATCTCGACGGCATGAATGACGACGTTAGACAATGGAGATGACAAGGACGATGTCGGCATCGATGGTTGTGGTTGTGACCGGTAAGGGATATAAGGTTAGGAGTTTAAAGGTTGATTTTATGGATTTTTAGGGATTCGAGTCTTTTTATGATTTTAGAAAAATTAGTATAATCAAACTTTTTTAATCGAACAAGTGTAGTAATTTTTTTCCGACAAGATGATTTTATTAGGATAATCGAACAAGTCTTATCTTGATTGTATGGCTCATTGTAGTAGCCCTAGAATTAGAACCCACCACAATGCCCAACAGCACAATGCTAACTATGATATTAACTACTGATATCTCCATTTTCTTTAATGCATATGTGTTTCTAATGCTTTGATGAAATCATTTACGGGGATCCTCGTATTTATAGGCAATGTTACCCTCACAGATTTGCAGGACTAATCTACTCTTTTGTTTTCTTTAGAGTCCCGTGTGATTTTCATGCATATTTTTTTTTCTTTTTTAATCTCATGTCGTCAATGATTAATTGTAATTAGGTATTTTGGACCACTCCTTAATCTTGCAAACATCGTTAATGCCACGGATGGTTGCAGTGTGTTCTTTTTAATCTTCATGTTCTCAATGATTAATTAAATGATGTACATTTGGACCACTTCTTGCGAACATTGTTTGTGCCAAAGAAGGAAAAGTAATGACATTGGTAGTGATATATATGCTTATTTTTCATATTTCTACAGTCTTTAATTTGACTTATTAAGGTTATGAGGCGATTAGGCTATAATGATAGTAAGAGTTCAGATTTTGGTGTTTATAAATGAAGTAAATTGGATTGGGAATTATCCCATAGTGAATTGGGGATTACTTCTAGTGGATTTTCTAAAATTCTATTGAAATAGTTTATCAATAGATTATGTATCGATGGTTAAATGAAAAATAAAAATAACAAGATTTATATGTCTAACAAATTTTAGTAATAAAAATTACGGTAAAATACAAAATAGTCCCTGAATTATAGAATGATATTTTGTTAAGTTAATTGACTATTAAAAGTTACAAAATGGTTCTTCGATTATAAGGTGTTGCTTTGTTGAGTCCCCCGACTATTAAAAGTTACAAAATGGTCTCTCTACTATTTAGTATGTTCCAAACTCGTCATTTTCTCTTAAAAATTTGACAACAATTAAGTTGGATGTTAACCTGTTAACTAAGATATGATAGTTATTTTAGATTATGGGATTAGATTTTATCATATCTCAGTCATCAGGTTAACATCTAGCTTAGAATGTCGTCAATTTTTTAACGGAAAATTACGAGTTTGTAATATAATAAATAGTCAGGTGACAATTTGTAACTTTTAGTAGTCGAAACTCAACAAAGCAACATCCTAGTGTCGAATGACCATTTTCTAATATTTAATAATTGAATGACTCAACAAAACATCACCTTATAGTTAGGGATTATTTATGTACTTACTCTAAAAAATAAAATAAACAATCGAACCATTAAATAAACTTATTCAATTGAGTTTTTATAAACAAAAAAATTCAACTGATCTCTGGAAAAAAAATCAATTGTCCC